CTGCCATTAATATTATCGATTTCCCATTGACGTACACCATCTGCAAATGATACGTGTCCACCCTTCATCTCTCTAACGTATATACCTGTATTCTCTTCACTCGTCACCATTGATTTTCCTTCATTCTTTGTCATCCTCGCCTCAGTGTTAATGCTATATTCATTCTGCGTTAGACTCTGCCAACGGGTGTGCATCTATCGAGACAATGAGCGCCAAGATGAATCTTGAGATAACAAGGTCCCTGGATTGCGATATCCCGTTATGATTGCAGTCCACACTGCGATATGTAGTCATAATGAAGGTCCGCATCGTGGGAAGTCACCGCACAGGTACCCGTCCTCCACCACACCTTCCCCTTTCACCACCCCTCACTTCAACGACCTCAAGCACACGACTAGTATGGCCGACACGATGGAAGTTGACAATCCTGCCCCATCTGCACCCGTAGCAAAAGGCAAGGCCAAAGGAGGTAGTGGAAAGAAGAAATTTGAAGTCAAGAAGGTGATCGACATGCGGACGCCATCCTAACCTTGGTATTTGTCGCCGACCGCTGACGGTGGCTTGGCCTTTCTCCCACTCAGTGGAACGCCGTTGCATTATGGGCTTGGGGTGTGTTTTCTATTGTCGAACGTGCCACCTTAATCGGGGGCGTCAGCGAACTTGTGGTTTAGACTGACGCGCCTTGCACGCGTGTTTCAGACATCGTCGTCGACAATTGCGCCATCTGCAGAAACCATATTATGGATCTTTGTACGTTGCCCCGCTTCATTTATAGTCAATTTAGGCAAAGGCAATCCGCGTTGACGATCCGACACGCCAAACGCGTTCATTATTAGGCATCGACTGTCAAGCCAACCAGGTCTCCTCCACAAGTGAAGAGTGCAACGCTGCCTGGGGTATTTGCAACGTGTGTACCTTCTTTTTTTGCTATTACCTCTTTCCGGTTACTGACTGAGATATGTCTCTTGATGCGGTCTTGCTTTGGAACTGGGCAATTACGTTACGCATTCAATTCCAATGTGGCGCACCCTTTGAATGGCCGGTTGCATCTCATTCGACGCCCGACAGCACGCTTTCCACTTCCACTGCATCTCGAGATGGCTCAAGACTAGAAACGTGTGCCCTCTCGACAACAGAGAGTGGGAAATGCAAAAGTGCGTTCACCCCATTCATTCTACTGTATCCCCCTTCCCTCGTCTTAGGGTACGCGTCAACTTTCACCATGCTGACTTCTTCGCGATCGCCAGATACGGGCACTAGAGTTGTTTCCTCGCTTGGGCAAATTCATCAAACATCTTGGCATTACATTCGTCCTATTGTACTTGTCTACGTCAATTTCAGACCCATTCTCCCGCCAAATGTACGACTTTGAAACAATGCTGCCTCGTCCCGACGTTATTCTTTCGAGAAGCTCCCCGTGCTTGTCCCCTTACATTATGCTGTCTGCGAGTGAACTGAATGGCGCTGCTGATAACCCGATTCTCAAGTGGAGAATGGCCTCCATGATCCGGTTGTAGCTGCTGATATAAACCCTTGACCAACAGCGTCCTAGCTGCCACTCTAATGATTGTTCGGACGTTTCTTGATCCATATGCACGACCCGCTCTAAGCTGTGTACCTAATGGACGAGTGAAACGTCCCTAGGACGACTTACGACCTCTGATCGACCGCCTTTGGCCGTTATTTGGTGAAAACCCCGCATTAGCCAAGTTCACTTCGAGTTGCCCAAGCCGCATGCGGTGGCGTTAGAGAATCCACATGTCAAAGCTGGAACTGTTGAGAAATGCCATCGGAGCTTCGCTCAATAAAGCTATCGGTGCCAGGCTATGCTCAGACCCATGTGAAACGGATACGCTTGGCTGGACACCTTGACTCGGGACGAATCAGCGAGGTATATATAAGTTCTGTTGCACGGATCAAAATCTATGCTCTTCTATAGCGACCATTTCCCCCCTCCAAGGCGCACGAAAAGCTGCAAACCAGATATCCCTTCCTGCCGTAATGGTTGAGGCATAGAATCAGAGCAGAGCGGGAATTTCAGAGGATGACCATTCTAAACGCGTGAATAGTCCGACGTGTCGTAACACCCCTATGTTGGACGGCAACTTAAACCAGCTCTATCGGGTTGTGAAGCCAGACTGTGCGTGCTCTGTTAAACGCCGATTGCACAATGACACGTCCGGGGGTACCCGCTTGATGATGCCCTTGAACTTCCACTCGGAATCCGACGACTTAGTGTGGTGTTCAGGAACCACGAGCCACCAGGATCAACCAGGGTTGATTAACCGGATCCACTCACCCGTTGGCCTTCCATACAGATAGAAAACGCCAAGAGCGTTCTTCGATCGATGTCATTTACAAAACACCAGCGAACTAATCGCTCCTGGGTCCGTTCTGACTTGCGCAAGTCACAAATCCAGCATAGAATTCGAGCCTCACGCGTTGCTCCTTATACTTTTATCCAGACAGCAATCTGTAGACGAAACCAAGGGATCGCCGGTTTACGCGAGTAGTCAGGAGCTCGTCCGCTGTCTGATTCCAATGTAAGTGCGCTGGGATTGGTGGCTATTACAGTCAGGAAACAAAAAAGGAAAGGAAGGAAGAGGGAAGTCGTCAAGCGGTGTCAAAATTCACGCCCTGAGCTAACGGAATCTCGTTGGAGAAGTTGATAGTGGAAGCTGACCATCGGACTGCATTGGTGTATCATCAGTACCCGTGACGAGGCAAGTTCGAACAATAGCTGAAATTCTCACCATATTGCTTCCAAGAATCTCCTCCAGACTCTCGACCCCAGCCAGTGCTCTTGTTCCCTCCGAACGCAGCACCGATCTCCGCACCGCTTGTCCCCACGTTAACATTCACAATGCCTGCATCGCTGCCTCCTGGTCCAAGCCACTTTCCGATATTTCGTACGTCCCTGGTCCACAGGCTACTGGACAAGCCTTGGGGAACATCGTTATTCCACTCAATTGCCTCTTCGAGTTCGTCGAATAGGGCCACGTTGAGAACAGGGGCGAAAGTCTCGGTACGCCAGATATCTTGCGAGGTAGAAGGCGACTTCGGAATTGCGATCGTTGGTTGGACGAAGTGACCTTTATGTAGTTCTGGGGAAAGCAGTTCAGTTGTGACGGATCCTCCTGTGATAATCTCTCCTCCGCTGGACTTGATGGCCTCTATAGCCTGTTTGTAGACTCCGACAGCGCCACCGTTATGGAGGGGGCCCAACAGAGTCCCTTGCGCTAAAGGATCCCCCATACGAACGGTCTTGTAAGCCTTTTGGAGTCGTTCTAGGAATTCGTTCGCAATTGATCGATGAAGATAGAGACGGCGAGTCGACGTGCACCGCTGGCCAGCAGTTCCGACCGATGAGAACAAAACAGAAGGAAGCGCCAAGGAGAGGTCCGCGTCAGGCATCACGATGACTGCGTTGTTGCCACCAAGTTCCAGGAGAACTTTGCCAAAACGATCCTGGACCGCTTTCCCGACAATCCGGCCTACTGCTTCGCTTCCGGTAAACGACACTTATTGAAACGGCTTCCTATCAGCATTAAAGTTCGCCTCAAGTCTGAATTAGCTGGCGCACCCATATCAATGTCCTTGCTGCCAACCACCGTTTCGCCAACCGCCTTCCCGCCACACACGAGACTTGCGACGGCTCCAGGTATGCCGTTCTTCTCTAGAACGTTTGCAACTATCTTCGTGACCGCAACTGAGCAAAGCGGTGTACTCGGTGCTGGTTTCCAAAGCGTTGCGTTGCCAGCGGCCATGGATAGAGCCAAGTTCCTGCAGAGATCAGATGCATTAGGGCCATCCAGGATGAAAATACAAGATAAATTGAACAAACCATCCATATACTGCCACGGGGAAGTTGAAAGCGGAGAGGACCCCAACGACGCCGAGTGGATTGGGCACTGCCAACCACGTACTTAGAGAACGTCCTGTCAGCTTTGAGAGAGCACGCACCTTCGAGAATCGTGTGACCTGGGCGCTCAGAGCTGATAACTCGACCATTCATCATTCGCGATAAGCCGACAGCATAATCGCACTAACAAAAAAAGGTAAGCAGGCCTCAAACAGCGAGGAGGATGTCAAAGGGGCTTTACAATGTCCACAAACTCTTGAACCTCGCCTTGCCCTTCAGTGTAGATCTTTCCCATCTCGAGGGAGACGAGAGCTCCTAGTTCGTCGCGCTAGGAACAGCCAAATTAGGTCTGTGTTTGATTCAGGTGATGTCGACCCTCTCACCTTTGCTGACAATGCCTCGCGAATTTGACGAACCACCTCGCCTCTACGAGGAGCAGGCATAAACCTAAATTGCTTGTAAGCATCACGGCTCTTCGCGATCGCCTCTTGAAGCTCCTTCGCTGTCGCCTGCAGTGTTAAAAACCAACGTGTCACTAACGGGTGCATTGTTTGAATCTCGAGGCCAACATCCACTAACCGTCGATACTGTGGCAAGAAGCTCTCCAGTGGAAGGGCAACGAGACTCGAGAGGCTCTCCTGAGCCTCCCCATGATCCGTCATAGACACCTAGTACGACCTTGCTCGTGTCGGTGGGAATGTCCAGAGCTGAAAGGATTTTGGACGCCCTTGTTGACAAGGACCGTGACGAAGTCGGAAGTCGGGGTACTCGACGAATTCTGTGCATTGTGCGAATGACGAGGAATGAAGAAGGGGCAGGGGGGATGGCAAAAAGACGAGAGAAAACGAACGAGACGAGGTCAAGGTCCGAAACGGGTCATGCGAAAGCTCCGGGCACGTGCACCGCGTGTCCCTCCCGGCGCCCCCAGACTAAACCTAGAAATCACGCTTCCGGGGCAAAATGGAGATAGACCCGGCAGGATTTGAACCTGCATGGAAACTTCAGAGTTGGTGCTTTACCAATTAAGCTACGGGCCTCTAGATTAAGAAGCAGTTGTTATTTGTGTATCAGGAGCAAGCTCAAACAGAAACAAGTAGTTCGGACGCTTCGACTCACATTTTCTGGGACAAAACGAATATAGACCCGGCAGGATTTGAACCTGCATAGACGATGTGAAGTTCGAGTAAACATGACGCTTTAGCAATTAAGCTACGGGCCTCTGACGGCCATGTATAGATTATTAGTATATCAGGAGCAAGACCTAAAACAGCAACAAGAGATTTCAAAACATCCCATAGCTAATTTACTATTCGTTTATAATCTTTCGAATGACCCTCTTATCCCTTTCACCAACGATCTTGACCAACCCTTCAGACTCCAGTGCTTTGACAGCTTCAGTGAACTCGTTGGCGTCAACTCTCACTGAACTTTGGTTCTGCAGCTGCTTGGCAGCTTCCGCCCAACGGATTCCGCCTCTACCTCCGGAAGTTGACGTCGCCTCCAAAAGAGTCAAGATCTCTCGCTTCAAATCTCCCCTTAGGCGCCGTTCCTGCTGACCAGCCCCGGTGTTGATGAGGTCCAAATCAATTAGACCTGTATTCGGATCAGTTGCGGACATCCGGAGAGCTTCGCGCATGAGTCGGTTGGCCTCTTGAACATCCTCCAGCCGAACTTCGTCAGAGAAACGCATCCGGGCATGAGCTTCGGAAAGACGAATAAGAGATTCTAGCTGGCGCGGTGTCGCCGTAATACGCCGGGTTTGCGTTCGTGCATCTTCGCCCATGTTGCGCAGGTCGACGTAGCAAGCAACAAGCTCGTTGGCAGCCTCTTGGGAAATTTGGGGATGAATCTTTGTACGGGCGTACGTGATGTAGGCGGTGAGTTTCTCGGGCTCCTGTGATCGTTAAAAGCATCAAACTCCAACTCGCTGCGATTCCAGAAAGAAATGTCACGAACGAGAATGTCTCGACCGACAGTCTGTGGTCTGTCCTCCAAATACATGCTGACAAGATGCTCTGCGAGCTTTCGATCCAGATTTTCGTCAATCTTGTCCAAAACAAGATACAGAAGATCGAATCGAGAGATGAGAGTTGGCGGAAGGTCAATGTTACGGGTAATCGGCCAGTTGACGTTGTATCGCGATCCAACTGGATTGGCAGCTGCTAGAATGGACGCCCGAGCATTAAGTGTCGTAATAATGCCCGCTTTCGCTATCGAGACCGTTTGTTGCTCCTACAGACGATACACAGTCAGCCCCCACCCACACTTTATTGCAATTATCTTAGATCTCACCATGACTTCGTGGAGGACACTCCGAGTTGCGTCTGACATCTTATCAAACTCGTCGATGCAGCATGTGCCACCGTCGCTCAATACCAGAGCACCGCTGAAATCAAGAAAGAAAAAATCAGTTAGCGCGAATACAGGCATGGTTGTAGCAGTTAATTATACCTTTCGAGAACTAGCTGCTTAGAGTCCGGGTCTCGGGTAATGTATGCAGTCAGGCCAACTGCAGAGGAACCCTTTCCGGATGTGTAGACTCCTCTGGGTGAAATCTTATGTACGTACTAGTATAACGGCGTTACTATTGAATACTTCAACTCATCCAAAGTCAACCCAGCTCACCTGGAGAATTTGAGACTTGCTGGTACCAGGGTCACCCACTAACAACACGTTTATGTCGCCACGGTATCTCGGTCCTCCGCCACCGCCACCTTTCGCTACACTCTTATTCGTCCCTCCGAACATCTGCAGCAAGATTCCTTTCTTGACATCTTCCATCTCCCATATACTTGGCGCAACGCTCCTTGACAAAAAGTCGTAAATGTCTGGCCGTTGGCTAATGCGAGCAAGCTCCTCCTCCAACGCTTCCTGACGGGTCCGGCTGGGGTCGTCCTCCATGATACCTGGCGTCGCGAGTAGTGGGTTTCGATTGTGCTCGCTGTCGTCCGCTTCACCCCCAACTCCCAAACTAGCAGGATGGGATGCCGAATCGGTCCGAGTACCTTGATCGTATCCCATGCGTCTCTCATCGCCGTGCTTGATGTGCACAACGTCGACGTACGTCTTGAAGAGAGCACGAATGGTTCTTTGGCGTGGGTTAACTCGGACTGGGATGGACCTGTAAATGCCAGTGATCGTGACGCGGTCACCAGGCTTGACATAGTCTACGAGCTCGTCATATGCTGCAATAGACACGGTGTGTGGTGTCTGGCCATCCGGGACGGCGTCTGTAGACAAAGCCTGAAATCAGCAGCTGCATTGCAGCCAAGCAATGAGAACGGTACCTGGAGTCTCTTGCAGTCGAATAATCTGCCTATCCGCAAACTCGCTTCTGTTGTGAATCAGGTTCATCGTGCCGACAGCGTTGCAGACATCGCGAGGGCATCGCTCTGGCTCGGCAATTCGACCGCGGTCGATCTCTACTTGCACTGTATGCGAACAGTTCAGGCAACGGAAGAAACCTACAATGAAGCTAGGGTTAGCGATTCCTCGGTGTCGCAAAATGGCAAACTACTGACCGAGTTTCATATCTGGAATAATGGGGGTTGCTCGAATAACCAGGCCTTTGATAGAGATCAGCCGGTCCGTATCTACAGGCATTCCAATTAGTCCCAGAATGAATATGAAATGAGGGGACCGTCACCTGAAGGATTGAGTTCCCGCATGTTGATGGCATCCTGTCCTCCGAAAGGTCGAACTCGGAAAGGAGCCTCCTCAGCCCAACCCCACTCGGCCTGACTAACATCACCCTCTTCCTCCAGCAGATCCTGAATAGCGTCTCGCAGCGCTACGTCCATAATGGGGATGACTTCCTGCGGATATTTGATCAAAGTTGGGTATAAGGTGTTCTTCGTTCCGGGGTAAGCCTTCAAATTTGTGACATCCAAATTCAAGGTCGTTTGATCCGTTGAACGCATCTTGTTCAAGTAATCAATGTATATCTTTCGCTCCCCTTCATTGGGGTCAAGGAGTGGGCGCAAGGTGACGTTGTTTTTTCGATCGTACTCGCGGCGATACTTGACTTTGAAGTTCTTCACAAAGTCGATCCAGGCATCCCGAGTATCGTGAACGTTGACAGCTGTTCCCCAAAGCACGCGAGTCGTATCAGGGCCCTCGGAAGGAGTGATAACGGAGAGAACTGCGGCGGAAGATGGGGCTGGAGGTTCAGAGCCCAAGGCCGAAGGAGGATGCTGGGCCTGAACGTTTCGACGACGGGCACTTGAAGGAACAAACTGGGAAGGATGTACGTCTCCCCGGCGATTCCGGCGGGGAGTACTCAAAGGAGTTCTGATAGAAAACGTCTTCCGTTAGCAACACCGTCCGGTGGCCACTTGCGGGAAAACGTACGAGGGATGAAAGAGAGGACGACCAGATCTCGCACCATCGCTCATTGGAGCATCGTCTGATTCGTCAAAGTTTGGCTGGGGCGCGGTGCCTATGCGGCTTCCAGGGGAGGACGACCCAGGGAAGTTCAGAGGCGACGATGAAGCAGCAGCGGCAACTACAGACCCAGTAAAACGCGTCTCGTTAGATACTTTATGTGATATGTAAGCGGGATCTCACCATTCTGAGCGCGTCTGACCGGGGTTCTGACACCAGGAGTACCTGCCAAAGCGCGTCTGGCTACGATGCCCGTGGCTGGCGTACCCCCTGCCACGGAGGGCGTATGGAACAGTTGACGCCTTTGACCACCAGAGTGACGCGTTGGTGTTTGCTGCGCGTCGCCATCGTTCTGCATAGGCGCATCGTCGGAGTCGGGAAAGTTCAGCGGGGAGGACATGGAGATTGTGATGTGGACCGTCGAAATGAAGGTGGAAGAGAATAAGAGGGCAAAGCGCGTCGCGTCTCTGTTCCTGCGGTTGGAATTCGACATCCCCCTCTGTGCGATACGCATTAATTAAAAAGCCTTTCTCACCCAAGGAAAAAAGTGCATTTTCTGCAGATACAATAAGGAAAAACAAAAATGAATGGGGTTTACTATACGTTATAGGGGTGGGTAAGTAAACCGGGGGAGTAAGTAAACCGGGGGGGAGCAAGTCGCAAAAACGAAATCTAATCTACACTACAAAGCCCAAAAAGTCCATCATCACTGAAGGTAAAGACCAGCATACCCTCCAATTTAAGCGTATTCCTCCTCGCACCAAATTTTTAGCCTTCCCTCTCCAGGCTTAGACCTCGTGGATCCGGAGATCGAGCTTTCGTTATCATTCACATTCCGTGCCGTCTCGATAGCCAGGTCCCAATCCCCTTCATCCATTAGGCTGACCTTGGTGCCATCCTCGTCCTCAAACTTCACTCTCAGCGCACCGTACTCGTACGAAAACTTGGCGCACACGGATGCCAAGAAGTCTGTAAGACGCATGTCGGGTGCAACGACCATCCCGCGAACTTCTTTGCCGAAATGGATCTTGATTCGGATTTTGCGGAGGGGCTGCTCAAAGTCAAAGGCCATGAGGCGGCTGCCATTGTCGCGATCGGTTTCGTAAGGGCCACTGCCACCGCTGCTGCTAGTCGCGCTCGATTTCCTTTCCGGTCGTCTTTGACGGGTGGCGGGTTTGGGCGGTGAGGCGATGTTGGCGAGCAGTTTTGCGGCCACAGGACGTGGGGGAACTCTCGATTCAGCGTCCGAGCCGATGTAACCGTCGTAGATATCCGTTAGGCCGGCTTCACCGTAGCGAGAGGTTGGTGCGCGGGATAGCTGGGCTGGAGAGCCACTGCGCGGAGGTGTGGGGGGAAGGTCGACACTATTGTTAAGCCTCAACGTGGGCCTCCGGGCAGGGAGTCCTACGGGAGCAGGACGAGCTTCCTGGTCGTTTGCATATGGCAATCCCACGGGGCTTTCCGGCCTCTCCGGGGCGGCTGGAGCGCGAGTCGACTTGTTCCTGGTGAGTCGGAGCGGCTCGGCCGGAATAGCGGGCAAAGGCATGTCGGGTGGGGGCGGAGGAGGACTATCTCTCGCAGAGTTGAGTCCCGGGTTCCCGGCACTAGCGCTACGGCTGAGGGCCGCTTGGTTCTGCGCGGGGGCGGGGGTGGTAGCGGAGCGAGATCGGGCGAGACTGGCTTGAGTGAGGTCATCGTCAAAAGCGATGCGCCTGGTTGTGTTGGATCGTTGGATGGTGTTGCTACGCTTTGGGGCGACGAATTCTTCTGGTGCGACAGGCGTCGCCGAGATAAGTTTCTGTAGAGGGGATGACGAAATAAGTGCCTGGTTACGGC